GGTGGCCATCAAATGCTACTTGCAATCTGCACGACCACCTTTTTTTTCTTGATGTAACAATAAGACTGGGCCAGGTTGTCAAAAAATGCAAGAATTCCCCCCCCCCCCAAAAAAAAAAAAAAAAAAAGCCAGCTTTACATTTTTTTCTTATTAAATTTTGTTCTCAGGAAAAAAAGAATCTGGTGGTACACAGGGAAGCTTTATCCTCACGGTAACATTAAAAGGGGATGCCTCTGGACCCAAGCCTCTGTGTTCAGCTAGTCAAAGGCATCCTTCACCCCTGATGTGTTGGGTCAGTGATGAACAAATGTGGGCAAGACTGATACGGGGGAGCGTATCATACTTCTCAGAGAGCATTGCCCAGGTTACAGGAATGCTTTCATTTCCAGCCTCTTTTTTGAGGGTGTTGGGAGACAAACTAGACACACCCCCTCACAAGAATAGAGACTGGTTTTCACTGTCTCTTAGAGACAGTGATTTATCTGGGCATTTAAGTTTATTTGCCTAAATTAAAAGCTAGTTACCTTCAGTGCCTAATGTTGGAGAAGCCCCTCATCCCAAATCCTCTGGCTAAGGAGGCAGATAAATTCCTTGGGAGCTTGGACTATTAAACCAAAGGTCAGGAAAAAAAAATCAGTCGTTTTTTTCTTGCAACATATCAGTACTTAACAAGCTGTTTGTAACCAAGCATCACTGGACAAAGCTGTCAGTGTTGCCTACTGGCCCTAGCTCCTCATCCCAGCTCCACGCACCTTTTTTCCTTTTGCTCCCATTCCCTTCCCAATTAATCCAGGGTCAACTGCATTCAGCTGACTCCATCTAGAGCTTTTCATGGGCATTTACATTTCACTTGCCAGGACATACAGTTCCAAGCACATAGCACACAAGAATTTGTGCTGGCTTTGGGAAGACCTTTGACCAAGACTATTCACTGTTGGGCCTCATCTATAGCCTACTCACACATCCGCAGCCAAGTCTGTCTCGCTGACTAGAGCTGGCACTCGATTTGGGATGAACTCTCCCAAATCCACTTGCCGCAGATACAGTCCTTATTCTGAACGACTCAGCTATCCAAGGGAGAGAAACCATTTCAGAAAAAGGAATAGCCCAGTCTGACAGTAAGAAGCCTGCCCTCATCTGATGACCTTATAGGTCCTGTGCATAAGAGGCAGAAAGTCTGCATGAATTTGAAAAGGAGTCAGGCAACTTTGGTTTTTGCCGTTTTACCAGGACTCTGCAGCTAGGTAAGCAAATACTTTTGCAGCATACAGACTATGGTAGGCAAATGTCCTATGTGGCAGGACCAGTATTCACCATGAACCCCTATTCTCAAATATTCTGCCTCCCCTCGCCTGCCTAACAGTCTCATTTTAAGCAGAGTGATAGTCACCTAGTTAGTATGAAAGTAGAAATTGTGGCAATTTTACCATTTAGATACCCACAAATACTATCATTTTTCTAATAGCCAAGGCTATAAACCCACCAAATGTTCACTCGTTGCTCCCCAACCATCTTCCAAGTTAGAGGCTGTTCAAGGAGAAACATGCATCAACCTTTGAAGGAAAGGGGTCAAGTGGCAAAGGAGGAAGATTAGGCCATGATTTGCAGCGGGGGAAGCAGAAAATGCTGCCCCAAAGTTCTCACCTGAAGAGCTGACCTTCTGCTTGTTCCTGAACATAGAGATATATGCAGCACTGCCAGCTCTCGTGATTCATGGCATACTGCTTTTTGCTGGTGCAGCTCTCACGAGAGACAGGCAGAGACGCTTGCAGAGCATTCAAGACTGCTTGCCTGCATCTGGCGATGAAATCAGGGGCAATGCGAAGGACACATCAGTGTTAGGACAGGATGAAAGAATGAGAGGATTGAGGGGAAGACAGCTGTTGGTCCTCCTCTGCTTGGCACCCTGCAACTTTTCTGTCCGGAGATGCAATGAGCCAAATGGAAGAAATCAGGACAGACCTTCTGCTAGAGCATGGAGAAAGGGGATGAACCAGGAAGGTGGAAGAAGACAGCTGGAGGAATTCTGGGGCTCACGACAGGGGCAGGGAAGCACAGTTAAAATAAAAATAAGCTGCATTTAGCTATCTGGACAATTAATTATAATTCCGAGATCAAAAATAATTGCAATTAGTGCATTTTGCATCTATTTAGGTAACTGCTCAGGAAAGAAGAAAATTATCTAGCCACGTTTTTGAAGTGCTCTGAAGAGTCAAGGAATTGATTCTTAAATAAAAAGAAGAATAGTTTAGGAGTGCACACACAATAGCTGCTCTGCGTGACAGAAAGGCTTTCCTGGGTTAAGGATCTCCAGCAGTTACTGGGGTGGTTTATGCTACAAATAATTTTGTACATGTAAACATCTTTCCTGATTACATCTATCTCCACAGGCTGATTTTTTACTCTTGCATCCTCTCCATCTCCTAAATTTAGCTCCAAATCTTCTGACTATTATTACTATCACTATTTTTAATCTTCAAGTTTGCAAAACAGTATATGTGAATTAGGGCAGATCTGATGCACTGGTGAAAGCAATGGATTGGAGAGAGAAGGAGAGAGACTGCAAACCAGTCTGAGAGTTTATATTGCATTGAGAAGGTCAGTCAAGTCCATCAGGCAAATTACAGTGTATAAAGCCAATATAAAGAAACAGCAACCAAATTCTCCCCTTTGTTCACAGCCGAATCTCAGCAGGAACTGCAGTCATATACACGAAATCAGAGCAACATCCTAATTACTTGATTTTTGCATGCAAGCTGCATTAAGGGAAGCAGCTTTAATAAATTGTGCTACATTTGGAAAAGCCATTTTAATTCTCTAATTAGCATGCTTACAATGAAAACTAACTGTGCGTGTTTGTGTATACACATATCTAGAAAAGAGAGTTTAATGAACTGTATCTATTGCAAGTGAAATTGAAGTTTCATTTTCTCAGTGTTGTGCCGCGTGATGCTGTGATGCAGGTTTCAACACCACAACACACTTTTCCACCTACAAAATATCTTTTTGCTCCTTCTCTTTTTTTCTCTTGGATTCATGGTCTTTGGCAAAGTGGGGAAGGGGGAAGGAAAAAGCTACACAAGCATCGTACTCTGGCTTCACATTAAAAATAAATAAAAAACTCCCAACAACAAAAAACAACCAACAAAAAATAACAACACATACACAACGACAGAAAACCCTCTTTCACTGTGGGCCATCATTTTCTGTTATCTTCCTACCATTCTCTGCCACCTGAAACCAGCACTAGCAAAGCTTTATATGACCAATACACGCCCTACCATTATTAATCACCGACAGAAAGGAACAAAATGAAGTAAGCCTGACAAAAAAGTGTCCAGCTATAAAAAAAAGGACAGAAGAAAGGGTGAGGATGTGAGGAAAAAAATGAAAAGGCTGGGACAAAGAGAGATCTGCAGCAATTCAAAATAAACTCACAGTCCATCCTGCAGCTCTTGAGTATCATTTGAGGTCCCCAGAGATCGAAGGCTTCTTTCCAGAGAGGTCACTGTCAACAGCAAGGAAAGAAAAGGTAAAGAAGCAGTACACTTTTTCAGAGGGAAAAAATATTGGATTTTTGTTCATTTGCTTGCCTTTTAATTTATTTTCTTTCAAAACAACAGAATGAAGTAGTGTTTCGGTAGGTAACTCATAAGACAAAGGGGACAACATCTGGCAATGCCCATTACCCCAAAATGGATAAATTGGGTCCCTTGGATGCAGAAATGGTGAATCCACTTGTCACGTGTCATGACATGACGGGGCACGACTGCTTGTAACAGCAAGAAAACCTCCATCCCGTGGACCTCACATAGATCTCTGACTCTGCCAGCCCCAAACTTTCTAACTCTTCATATTACAGCAAATGCATGAAATTCCCAGGGCTGGAGGCAGTTGTGCTTTCTGCCAGGAGATCCGGGCAGCACTCTTGGGAGTAGGAAACCACTGCTTATCCTCCTCAGGAGGTCCATGCCTTGAGGCCCCACAGAACTGTGCGTGGAGCATCTCCAGCTGCAAATGTGCCCTCAATGAAGAGGCAAGAAATTGCATAATAAGTGTTCATTGCTCTGACTAGCGATTAAGAGGCAGAACACTGTTGTCCATTCTGATATCTTCTAATCTCATTGTCCCAGACTTTAATACTCCAAATCTTTTCTGGTTTTTGGCTCAGACAGAACGGGGCGCTTCGCTGTGATCATCTCCTGTGTTTGAGCTAGAAAGCCTCTTGGGTGTTTCCAGCAGGGGAGGAGAATACCCTAAGAGCAGCTGGAAGCTGGAAACGTGGTTTGTTTTGCAATACACAGTGACTTCAGATTTAAGAAATATATATGTGTGTGTGTGTATGTGTATAAAAAAGTGGCAGAAATGTAGGAGTACTGTTGCCTTTTTATACCCTTGAATGTTCACTGTTTCAAATTCACTCTTAAATTAACAGCAGGTCACTACTTTTGGGCTTAGCTTATCAAGTACACAAAGTACTTCAAGATCTTCCACAATGGAAGACGCTAAATAAATGACATTCTTAATATTTATATGTGGGATTTTCTCCGGACGCTTCCAGTTGTAAAAACTTGTAACTCGTTATCAGTCACACTTCAATATTTAAGGAAGGAAAAAAGAACAGATTAGAAACGTGGCTCAAATATTTCCATAGAAATTTAAGAAATCCTCTGTTTTAATGACTCTGCAGACTTGGACTCGGCCTGTAACTTTGAACAAGTCACTTTAATATTTTTCCACTGACAGACAAAATCCCCTTTTCTCTTTTAGGCTTTTCTCTGGGTTGACAGCAAAAGTCACCAAACAGCATAAAAAGTAACTAATGATGTGCCTGGCCAACATGAGTATTCAAAACAAGCTTGAATACCACCATATATTTTCACCCCGCTTGCTAGATCGCAATAACAGAATTTAGTGTGGAGTTTGGTGATTCAGTGAGATAAAGACTCAAGGAATTGTCTGTAACTGAGCTAATAATTAGTATCCTTTGCTGGATGCACAATGTTTTAAAGAATAAATTGAGACTAAATAAATTCACTAATAACCATTTGTTTCTCTAAGAGAACAGCACTGATTCTGCAGAGATCTCACAGATATTATAATTGTCTCTCTTCCCCCCTCTGCAATCCAAACAAATCAATCTCCCATGCATTCTATATGCTGTCTGTTTCAAAGGCAAAATTTTGCACCATCTAAAAATACTTCTGGGCCCATAAACCCTTCAGGACAGGCTTGGTCCTTGGTGAACGGACAGCAAGTCAAGGTAGAGAAAGCACTTGTGCGGACATTGAATTTCTAAGAATGTGTTAATGTCATGTGTGCAACTCCAGAAGGGAAAACAGCAGCTTACAGCATCCAGGCACCTTTCTATCCTGAGGTGCAAAATCAGGACAATTCAAAGTGAAAGCTACTCTGCCAGCATCTTCCTACAAATGAAGATGAGCTTGATGGAAGACAGATCCGATACGCAGGCGGTTCTCTGCAAAAACACTGCAGGCCTTTGCTACTACCTGCTTTGGAGAAGAAGGGAGTAGGAAGCAGCTTTCCTTTTGCACAAAACTCTTCGAGATTTCACATACACGCCATTTCACGTTGAGGCAAATCCAAGAGCTTTTACATTTGTTAAATATTTTGGAAAAGACACATATACACAAAAGAACCTGAGACAGGAATGCAAGAGAAGAGCAAAATGCTTGTCAGTCAGGTGAGAAAATGGCTCAGGTTTAAGTCCCTATCCTACAATTTTATCTAATATTTTAATTCGAGCATAATATTTACACACTTACATAAAGGTCAATTATCCCAAAAGGACAAGATACGCACTCTGGAAGAGTCAAAGGTTGGCATTTGATATGGCTCTTACCTGGGAAATAGCAGAACTGAGACTCAAACTTGAGCATCCTGGATCTCGGGCGGACTGAGCTATTCTGGGATGGATCTAACTTATTTGGCCAGGAATCACTCTATCAAAATCTGTGTAGTTCATGTGCTGGATATGGAAAATCCCTCTCAATTTACCAGTTCTGACCACGCGAGCAGTAACTCTACTAAAGGAGCAACACGTCAAGCTGTGATGGAGAGATGTTGTGAAGCCAGTGTTAAAACAGACATCTGACTTTAAAAGCCTTGTACAGTCAATTTTTAAAAGGCATATGCTAGTCCTCTAGGATGAGGCACATTCAGAAGAGATCACTGCTGTTGGAGCTGTACTGATTTACATAAACTGAGAGTTTGGCACCAGTTGTCTATGCCGTAGCAATCCTTAAAATCAACGGGGGATAAGAAACCATCCTGAGATGGCAATGGAGACTTTATCGCACCTGGGGGATGCTGAAAAATCCTTTGCTCAGCCTCTCAGATCAAGGTAATGGGACTGCGCATGGCACCAACCTGTCACAGGGAGTCATTAATGAGCAAGTAACAGGAATTAGAGAGGGAAGAGACTCATTAGAGCACTCAGGTTCTCCATCTGGCCAGAACAGGTCTGATTCCTCCAGTATATCCTCCACTGATTGGCCCTCTAGACATGACGCACCAAACCAGCTCCTTTTACGACTGTTATTTATTTTACTTATTTATAAGGCATTTACTGAGAGGCAGCTAAAAGCCGTACTTCAAAAGAAATGCAAAACCTTCATAAAAATAAGTAGGGAAAAAAGCCATCGATAAGACAAATTCAGCCAGTACTTGAGCTTATTTTTGTGGGTTTTTTTTCCCCAAAAGGAAAAAAAACAACTAAACAAAAACCCCATAAAACTCACATAAGTCAAAGCACTATCAGACAAACTTCCCTACGCTCAACAGAGACGGCCCCCAAAGAATTAGAGAGAAAGCAAGCAGATGCAAAGAATAGGAAAAAGCTTTCTCTACCCCTTGACATTTCTGTAAGAGATGGGATAAAAAAAAAGTCTATAAGCTCATGACCTGGCCGGAGAGTGATCCAGTAGCACATAAACAGAACCAACTGTCCTGGCTAAGATTTTTATTCAACACATGAGGAAGATTTCCATTTTCATAGCAGAAAAAAGGAGCAGGAGGCATTTATACGTGAAATCAGCCAAGATCAGCTGAGAGCTACAAAGATACCCCTTGGTCAGGAGGCAAGTCCTGAGCGGCCCAAGAAGAATTTAAAGCACCCCAAAGGCTCAGACTTCTGCAAAAAGAGTAAGGAGAGCAAAGAGGGAGAAAGTATGCAACGTTTATTATTTTTGTAGTGTTACTCAATAAAAATCAACGATGTTTTAAAATCCCGGTACAAAGTTGACTTCTTGTTTCATTAAAAATAGCCATTCCCCAAAGACAGAAAAAATACAGCCGAGACTGCCCACAACCTGGCATTTTGGGAATTCAAACAACAGAGGCATAGCATGGGGAGCTCATGACACCTTTAGCATCCCAAGGAGGAGAAGAGGATTTCAGGTGCATAGTTTGGTCTCCAAATGCAACGGTAAACCTGGAAAACCCCAAAGAGGCTGGGGTAAGGCAGGAAAAGAAGGAAAAGGGGACCTGTGATTGGATTTATGCAACACTGAAGGACGTTCAACACATCATGCCCAGTGCAACAGGAGTACAAACCATAATCTGGTGAACATCTGCAATGCAGCCGCTCGTTCCTTGCTCAGCTGTTTGCGTGGTGGTGCACAAACAACAGCACTGACTTCTGCTACATGCCCTGAGATGGAGCTTGCTGGGTTCCCTAAAGAGACCATATTGTACAGCTGTACAGGGCAGAAGGGATCATGGGCATCCTTTCCCATTTTATAATCCTGCAAAGTTCTTTACCTAACGTGGATTAGCTCTGACTGCAAAATCTTAGCAGTACACTCAGCATCCCTCTCCTGAAAAGATGTACCCACTTTTGGGGAAAAGGCTATGAAGAAGCCACACGCAAACTGAATGAAACTGACTTTAGCAGACAGAAAATAATATGGGTGGTGAACAGAGCAACAACAGTAGAGTGTCTTATGGGCATTTCTTCAACCTAAAAGTACTTTAAAAGGCATTATAAATTCATAGATTCATAGATTTTAAAGGCCAGAGAGAGCAATTCTGATTATCCAATCTGATTTCCTACCATAAAATTTTGTCCCATCACTCCTACATCAAGACCGTAGACTGTAGCTGGACTAAAGTATATCTTATAAAAAGACATTTGAATCTTGATTTAAACGTTTGAAGCAATGCCAAATCCATCACGTCCCCTCAATAAGCAGTTCTAATGGCTAGTTATCCTCATACAGAAAGATTGAATTTGTCTAGCTTTGACTCCTATCTCCTGATCTCGTTATGTGTAAGAATGTTAGATTAATGAGCCCTATGCTATCTATTTGATGTCTTTCTTCCCAGAGAGGTACTTACACACCATGATCAAGTTCTCTTAGATGTCTCAAACAGGAGTTCGGATAGCATGCATTTTAGAGTCTGATTTGCAGACTTCAAACAGTTGTCATAGCTCTTCTCCGCACCCTCTCCAATTTTGCAAAATAGTTTTAAGTACAGGCACTGTCATTACCTGCTTCACAGAGCACTCAATACAGGCAACTCTTAACAGAAAGCACATCATCATGCACTCTATACCATCTCAAGAGCAGAAACAAAGACCACCAGAAATTGCTCAAAACCTAATTGAATGGATTAATGCAATTCTAACAAAGAACAAAAATAGAAATTGGATCGTGGCATTTCAAAAAAGATGCACCACTCATCTTAAGGGTTTCTCAGGATAAACTCCACTGCAGCAGGAGTTGTGATTACAGCACAGAGACATATCAAGTCAGCCCTAACCTGGCTAGTTTGGGTATTAATAGCGCACACAGACTCGCGAGCAGGTTGCAAAACTTCACGCTGAGCCCTTGGCTTGGTAGCAGAAGTGCTACTATCATTCATCACTACCATTGTCAAGGTAAAACTATTAGTGTTGGAGCAACCAAGATTGATGCTAATCAGGTATTTCTGTGTGTCATAGTATGGTTATATACCCATCTATAAGCAAAGTACTAGTGATCACAGCTGGGAGGTTCAAGTTGCCACAGTGACCACAAGCCCAGGTCACAGTATTAGAGTTTTCTCAAGGAAAAGCTCGGGAAAAAGGGCCTGGGGGTCCTGGTGGACACCAAGTTGAACATGAGCCAGCGATGTGCCCTTGCTGCAAAGAAGGTGAGTAATATCCTGGACTGCATTAAGCAAAGCATTGCCAGCAGGTCAGGGGAGGAGATCCTTCCCATCTACTCAACACTGGTGAGGCCACACCTGGAGCGCTGTGTCCAGTTCCGGGCTCCTCAGGACAAGGGAGACATGGACACACTGGAGAGAGTCCAGAGAAGGGCCACAAAGATGATTAAGGGTCTGGAGCATCTCTCCTGTGAGGAAAGGCTGAGAGAGCTGGAACTGTTCAGCCTGGAGAAGAGAAGGCTCAGGGGGATCTTATTAATGTATAGAAATATCTGAAGGGAGGGAGCAAAGAAGATGGAGCCGGACTCTTTTCAGTGGTGCCCCGTGACAGGACCAGAGGCAAGGGGCACAAACTGAAATGCGGGAGGTTCCCTCTGAACATCAGGAAACACTTTTTTTACTGTGAGGGTGACTTGAGCACTGGCACAGGCTGCCCAGGGAGGTTGTGGAGTCTCCATCCTTGCAGACATTCAAACGCCGTCTGGACATGGTCCTGGGCACCAAGCTCTAAGTGGCCCTGCATGAGCAAAGGGGTTGGACAAGATGACCTCCAGAGGTCCCTTCCAACTTCAACCATTCTCTGATTCTATGATTTTCTCCACCTTCTGCAGTGCATGGTTGTCCTTCACCCCAAGCACCGTCAATCCCACCACTGCTCTCCAGTATCCCAGTGGGCAAATATCACTGGCAACCCGAAGGTGACTTTCAATGGCTGAATTTCTTGGATTCTGTTCTGTGAAGAAAACTGTTGAACTTGTGGTATCCAAGCAGTTTGCCAAAAAACTGTGAATAACAAGTGTTTTAAACAACTGTTTGTATAATGCATCTATCAGTTAATCCTCTGAAAAATAAGAAAAATAAACAAACATGAAGCGTGCATTTCCCATTTTGCTTTTGACCCATTCAGAATCAACTTGTATGTGCAGTAATTGAGATTCTGACAAACTACTGAAGAATCACAGACTCATGCAGGTTGGAGGGGATCTCTGGAGGTCTCTAGTCCAACCTTCTGCTCAGAGAAGGTCCACTTAAGAGCAAGTTGTTCAGGGTCTTGTCCAGCTCTGAATATCTTGAAGGATGGAGATGTCACAGCCTCTCTGGGCTCCTGTTGCACTGGTTGACCACCCTGATGATCAGAACCTTTTTCCTCATATTGAGTTGGAATGTCCTATGTTTCAGATGCCCTTTGCCTCTCGTCCTTCCACTGTGCACATCTGAGAGGTTATGGCTCCACCTACTCTACAGTCTCCCGTTAGGTAATTAAAGACAAGAATACGATTTCTGTAATTCATGTTCAACTTGTGGTTGACCAGTACCCCCAGGTCTTTTCCTCAAAACAGCTTCATAGCCAGCCAGCACCCATCCTGTCCTGTTGCATGGGGTTAGTCTATCCCAAGGCACAAAGGAGAATGTGAATAATTATTTTTCTTCTGATTTTACAGCAAGCTGGGCACTTGAATAACTTCATGGAGCCTACCCAGAGCCTACACTTGTTTCAGGCCTTCACCTTCTGGGGTGGTGGAGAGCAGCAACGAGGCTCACAGGTGAGGTACATCCATGTTGCAGGAGGTCCTGAACTCAAGGTGATGATTGTCGAAAGTAAACTCAAACCTACCAATCCCTTGTAGTCATAGAAAAATTGGTGCTTGAGTTTTCCTGGCAGAAGAGACGACTATGTTTTAGAAGTTTTACTTCCCGTCCTTCTTCTAGCAAGGATTCCTTGCTACAAGGACTGGGGCCTCACCCCTGGGACACGTGGGGGAATAATTACAGAAATAAGGAGGCACTAAGATCCTTTCCTTGCACCTAGGCCAGTCCTCTCTGTCACCCAATACCCACAGACACAGAACAGACCAGACAGAGAAGCTGTCCAGGTGATTCAGAAGCAATTTCAAGGTCCACCGTAAAATCGGCACCCAATAATTTTAGATTGTTGTCTGACACTAGTGAATTTTAGAACTGGGATACCATGCCATTAACCATTCAGCAATGTTAGTTGGTATCTATCTGCAAAATACATCCCTCCAGCCCAGCCCAACAAAACTGATGAGCCAGAGCATGTCTCCGAAGGAGGGAAGCACTTTGCGTCTGTAGGGTCTGAGGAGACATGAGCAGGAATAGCGTCCCCACTCAATCTACAGAGTGAAGAACAACAGAAGAATTTTGGTGTTGGTGTTTTTATAAGGGAGATAGATAGATGTTTTGCAAGCTCATAGGACAGGCTCTGAACACACTAGTGCTGCAACACATTAGAAAACGAGTCTGGCTTGTTCCACCTTTCTGCACTCTAACTCCCTATTGTAACAGATGACACAATTAAAAATAGAAAAGGATGTGGTCTCAGCAAGGATTGGAATATATCTGTGCCTGTTTAATGGAACATATGGTGGAATATTTTTACATCTTATAAAGAGCTGTGTATTGGACATGTGCTGGTGCTCGTGAGATGCAGCAGCAGAAAAACTGCATTAATACTTGCTCCCTGACAACAGGAGCTGCCATACACCGTGTACACGCACACGAGTCATCAGCAGGACAGCACACAATTGACTAGGAAACCTTTCATTATACGCACCATTGGAGTTAATTCGGAAGACATTGGCTGAAGTCTCCTGAAAAAGTTCCTGTAGTTCGCTGGGATCAATCTGGGTGGCTGTGAAGACAAAAAGGCAGAAGAGATATTAGTACTGGAGACCACCGATCACTTTGAAAGGGACTCACCTCCCAGCTGATCCTTTGAAGAGGGATGCAGGTCCCTCCTCACTGCAGAAATTTAGCCCAAGTAGGTGGTCTGATGTAGCCTTACGCAGTGGCTGATCATGCAACTTGCACTGGACAGGCAAATACCTACTTCAGCACGATCAGGACAGTAAAGATGCTTCTGCAACACGGAGGATACGGCCCACGTGGATTGAGACAGCATTGTAGGAATTATTAGCAATTGGAATATAAATGATTTCTGCTTATTTATCAAGTGGGAGTATCAGAGCCACGAATGAACAAGAAACCGCAAGCACAACAGGATGGTTAACCATCGCTTCCCAGAGCAGGAGGGCACGCAAGCGGGTCCTGCCTTCAGAAAAGGGGAGGAAGCAGTGAGAAGAGTGCAACTGCTCCATGGGCTCGAAGCATTTGGGGCAGGAGGGAGATGGGAGCCCAGATGGGTCTTCCACACATTCATCTTCCAGCCCCCAAGAGAGGCTCCCCTTCTTCCTATTTCTTCCTGATAGCCCAACTGCAAGGGTCAATGAGTCAGTGCCAGGAATTGCTATTGCTGCTGCCCAGATGACTTCTCTCAGCTTCATTCCCAAGGTCCCACTTTGGCCAAGGTACCCAAATCTGCCCTACAAGGAGAACACTGAAGTGAGGGTTTGAATGTTTGGGATTTTGAGGTTTGGTGGTGTTTGTTGGGGGTTTTTTTGTTAGCTTCATTTCCCAACTTCAAACCCCCTGAAACTATCCTGAGCTCCTCCACAGCTTCATCATCCCCAGAGAAGAAGCGACGTGAGGTTGGACTGCGCTATATTACAGAGAAAAGATACATCACACAAATAAGCTTTAATCAGGCGTTTGGTTTTTGATTGGTAGTAGTCACCAGAGAAACAGTCATTTATACCTATGTCTTTGGCACCAGCTTTATGGCAGCAGCTTTACAGCAGATTTTCTTATGGTTTTGCCCTATTCTGCCTCCCGCCTGGGTCAGCTGTTGCAGGTTTCCCAGAAGCTGCTCTACCTGAAACTTTGGTCAAGTCCAAAAGCACCGCAGGGCTTGTCCACCCGACCCACTACAGCGCATTCAAACAGCCACTGCTATTAGCAAGCCGCTTCTCTGAGCTGAAGCGTTACAGAAACTCAAACAGGAGCTATGATTCGTATTTTCAAGTCAGCAGACTGCAACTACGACTGCAACTACTTCCCTTAACCAGATTTCCCTAAGCTGTTAAACACCATGTGCCCAACCTGCATTTGGAAGAGCAGAAAGTCAGCGACGGAGCAAGGCGAAAACCATGAGTATTGAACAAAACGAGAAGCCTGCTTGATGCACTGCTCAGGTTAGTCCTGAGGATGCATCTCCCGGTGCTTGAGGACAAGCTCCACATCCAAACAGTGCAATCGGGATTTTCCACTGCTTCTCACACATCTCACCCGCACCAGCACACACATGAGATGATTCAGCCCCCGCACCAGCACACACATGAGATGATTCAGATGATGTACCAGCAGTAAATAAAGTCTTGGATCAGTCTGTCAGGTTGACACAAATCCGGGGCATTAAATGGCGTTTAATCCAAATGCACAGGGGGTCATTTCTAGAGATTTTCCCACTCTTCTCTTCCTGCAGTTCCTCCTAAATCAGCTGTCCTAGACAGTCCTTTCCTTTGCTTTATATATGAGGCTATATAACACAAGAAATTAGCTTGGGCTTACCCATCCCCCAGGAATTTCACTTGTTACTAACAAGATCCAGCTTTCATTAAATCACTGACAAAAGAGCAGCATGGGATAAGATTTTTTAGATCTTTACAGGCTGCGCTGATCCCAGTTTCGGGAGGTTTTTCTCGGATTTTTCAGTGTGCCGACACACTCTGGGTTAGTAATACAGGAGGATGGGCGTCCAAGACATGGCTTCAGCTTGGCTAAATTTCCAATTGCATGTGCTGAGAGTACCGGTCCACACATTTTGTGATAGAGGTTTTTTGGATGAGTGGGGTTTTTTGTAGGGGAGAGAAGGGTTTATTTACCTATTTATTTCCATTCTTTCCTTAGAAACACTGAATTTGCCTCAACAGATTTCTAGCCTGGCCCAGTGATCCTGAGTCCACACACACTTAGGTACTTTGCTGAATGAAGCTTCAGATGAACCATGATGCAACCAAACCAAGGGTTGGAAACTCCTTCAAGTCGTCAATTATAAGCACCCAGCTAGGAACACTATTGCATTAAACCCCCCAAATAATACAGACTCCAGACCTCAATGTGTTCCCACCTGAGGACACTCTTGCAGATTCACAGCATCCAGCAGGTACTGCTGGAGGGTCATTAAAATGCCAAAACCACCCCAACAGCAAAGATGAAATATCCCAAATGTTGCAAAAGGCAGAAGCACCAATTTCATTGCACGGACTGTGCACGCCTGCATTTCGGAGTCCCTGCAATACCATAAGAAAGAAACACCGAGCAACACTGTGTGTCCAGAGTTGGTCCATAAAGTTAAAAACCACCCAGAAATTCAAGTGCTAATTTGGGAGGGTGGGTTTTGTCCAACCTCCCCTGGGTGGCCATGGAGAGACCAATTTGCTCACCCTGTACCGCATTTCCCTAATGAGAAAGAGGCAAAACACAACAGGACAACGTGTGAGGATCATACTCTGAAGACATGGAAATACTTAAGTTTTTAAGCCCCAGCATATTTATTTTAGCCAAATGCAAGAGGACTGTGAGATGATGAACTCCCCCTCAAAGGCTTGAAATCTCAATTCATATAGAACTAACAGAGAGGGCCACGACAACCCCACACCTCAAACAAGTGCAAATTAAATGAAAAAAACAAAGGTAGATGCAACCTTTGGCCAGAATTTCCAAACAATTACATTGAAAATGCAATGCTCGGAGAATGGCTTATCTGAGAAAACTGCATTGAATCTGGCTTGCAATTTCCTGCCCCTGAACTCTTATTTCATGTTACAGCATACTGCCAGTTCTGGTTTTATTTTACTTTTTGTTTTAGAAAAGAAAATAAAATAGTAAGAAGGAGTTTGTTTTAACTGCTTTAACTTCAAGCTTCCACACATCAAGCAGAAATGTTGTAACTATTCATGGAGGATTCAGCAGTTCAAGCAGACACGCAAAACAATTTAGAAACAGCAGCAGAAAGCAAAGCAAAAAGACATCTGTACTGCCAAGCTAAGTGAAGACATACCAAGACTGAAAGAAAGTGAATGTGAAGTACATTTGTGTCTAATAAAAAATTAAATGTCTTTGACTACATAAAGCGAGTGCTAAAATATTACAATTCCCCAAGAAGGAATATGGGGTTGCTGATATCCAGTAACCACTTTGCATGCCCCAATGCTAATAGGGTTCAGGGCCACAATGGGGGAAGGGTGACTTTTGCTCGCACTGTGGGTCCTGAAAGCTGTGAAGGGTTTGTGGTGGATACATCACAGAATCCTATGTGCAAATCACTTCTCCTCCGCTTCCTTAACTGGATATTTCCAAAAACATTTTTACAGTTTCCAGCTACTTTCCCCATTTGCTTTCCAGCAGAATCCCCTTGGCAGGAGACAGGACAACCCAACTGGATTGGGGTTGAACAACCCAACTGTGGCCAGCAGGAGTAGGGAAGTGATCGTGCCCCTGTACTCGGCACTGGTGAGGCCGCACCTCGAATACTGTGTTCAGTTTTGGGCCCCTCACTACAAGAAGGACGTTGAGGTGCTGGAGCGTGTCCAGAGAAGGGCAATGAAGCTGGTGAGGGGTCTGGAGAACAAGTCTGATGAGGAGCAGCTGAGGGAACTGGGGTTGTTTAGCCTGGAGAAAAGGAGGCTGAGGGGAGACCTCATCGCTCTCTACAACTCCCTGAAAGGAGGTTGTAGCGAGGTGGGGGTCGGTCTCTTCTCCCAAGAAACAAGCGACAGGATGAGAGGAAATGGCCTCAAGTTGCGCCGGGGAGGTTTAGATTGGACATGAGGAAAAATGTCTTTACTGAAAGAGTGGTTAAACATTGGACCAGGCTGCCCAGGGAAGTGGTTGAGTCCCCATCCCTGGAGGTATTTAAAAGACGAGTAGATGAGGCGCTTAGGGACATGGTTTAGTGGGTGGTGGTGTTGGGTCGACGGTTGGACTCGATGATCTTAGAGGTCTTTTCCAACCTTAATGATTCTATGATTCTATGATTCTAACTTCCTCTGCTATCAGCTCAACCTTCTCCCCACCTAGCAAATAGTGATGACCTGTTATATTTATTGCAATTGCTAAAGCAGCAGCAATCAACACTGGCATTTCTGATATTTTCCTACTGTTTCTTAATTCTTCTGTCTTTCAACTGAAAAGCTACAGGTGGGTGCAGCAAATGGAAGGGACGAGCTTTTAAGTACATGCTCTACCAAAGCAAAATGTGTTTATACACGCTCTGGCCAACTGCAGTGGGAGACCTCAGCCGCGAGTGCGATCTTAGGGAAATGTGCAGCTTGAGATAGAGCCACTGCCTCGTAATCCACCTTGCTGCACTCCTGGAAATGCATTTATCGGCTGTTCTTTTTGTTGTTGTTGCTTGCGTGCTTATTTTATTTATTGCACCAAAAATCCCTTTCCTTCATAAGAAAAGTAGTTGCATCCCATCGTGTGATTAACTGCATGTGTGCAGTACGAGATATTCCTTGTCCAGTGATGCTGACAGTGCACTGAGGAGGGACAGAGAGGGAGGAGGAGGAGTGGGCATCACTGAAGCCAAACAGTCCCTTTCACCAGACTTTGCTGCCTTCTCCCTGCTGTTAACCCTTCCCATTTCATCATTTCAGCAAACTGCCTCAAAATAAACCTTGAAGGGAATATGTCCGCTAGTAAATAAAACAGAGTGAGGGAACAAACCATATTTTATTGTTAGCTGGCTGCTCAGCTCTGTATTGCCAAAATAAACTCAGAAGCTGTTCC